AAAAAAAAAAAAAAAAAGAAGAGTATCTTAGTTTATAGGGTTAGTACTCAGCTATTTCCTTTATAGAATCTTTATATATAATCATCTATTAGTTTACAGAATTCGGACCTGAAGTATAGCTCACTGCTTACATGTATCTAGCTTATATACTCATACTTAATACTTACGTCTAGCAGACTTAGCTCCATATAATCTTTCTAGATAATCACATAGGTATTGTAGTCGGAGCTGTACCGACACATTCAGTGCTGATTTATGGAATCCTTCCATAGAACCACATAGTAGTCTGTAGTAGGAGGAATGCCCAGAGCAGTCACAGAACAGAAGAAGCACGTGCGAAAACAGCCAGACCAGGACGAGAACCAAAGACCCAGGCAGTGGCGTCCCTGCCTGAAAGGGCAAACGCCGTATGCAGGCCTGGAGCAGGAGCCTCTCCTCCTGATAAAGGAGCTGCAGTACCTTGCATCCAGTTCCTGTGGAAAGTCGGCCTCAGACCTGAGATCCTGGAAGTAACCGAGGGAGAAGAACGCTCTGGTGTGACCAATCGCAGTGGCTGTGCACCCTGTCAGTCTTTTCTCGCTTCTGTGCTGGCTCAAATCACCCTCCCATAAATATCTTTATATATATATTATATATAATATATATATAAATGATTTATATATATACAAATGATTTATATACATATATAAACTTTATATATGTATATATAATATATAATATATATAAAGACGGGGTTTCACCATGTTGCTCATGCTGGTCTTGAACTCCCGACCTCAGGTGATCCGCCCGCCTTGGCCTCCAAGGTGCTTGGATTACAGGTGTGAGCCACCACGCCCGGCCCCCATAAACATCTTAGAGAAGAGCACACATCTGTCAGCTCCCACTGCACTGGCTTACAGTTTCCTTCTATTAGAAATCCTCTGAAGTCTCCAGCCCCCAGGTAGGAAGTGTTGCACACGACACCTGTTACACACAGCCCACCTCCTCGCCTCGGTGACCTAATGGGGTTGGACTCCGTTTCCATACGCGACCCTCTACTACTGTGAACAGCATGGCCCCCTACTGCGCGCAGCCCACCTCTCTGCCCAGGTGACATAATGGGGTGGCCCCCTCGCTGTGACTCACGTGATTATGTATGCCCTATCACTAAGCTTATAGATGATGACCTCACTCGCGACCCTGACCCCTGCTTGTACCTAATAAATACAGCCGCTTCTGGGCATCTGGGGCTCTGGCTGATCTCCGCTCACAGGTGGCGTGGCCCCCGGAGTCCAGCTGCTCTTCACCAGCTCTTCAGTGTCCTGTCTCTTTACTTCTCGGATCCTGCACCTCAGCACAACATAAGGGACACCCCACGACCCTGTGGGGCCCTACAGTTCACTGTAGCCTTGACCTCCTAGACTCAAGCAATCCTCCCCACTCAGCCTCCCAAGCAGATGGGACCACAGGCACACATCACTATGCCTGGCTAATTCTTATTTTTTGCAGAGATAGGGTCTCACTATGTTGTCCAGGCTGGTCTTGAACTCCCAGCCTCAAGTGATCCTCTCACCTTGGCCTTCCAAAGTGTTGGGATTCCAGGCATGAGGCACCAGGAGCAGCCTGTCTTTTTCATGGCTGTGTAGTATTCCACTGTGTGACCATGTCACAATCTATTTGATTGGGAGCAGTTATAACGAATTACAGCAGCTCTAAACGCTCTTGTTCAGATCTTTTTTTTTTTTTTTTTTTTTGAGACAGAGTCTGGCTCTGTCACTCAGGCCGGAGTGCAGTGGTGTGATCTTGGTTCACTGCAACCTCCTCCTCCCAGGTTCAAGCGATTCTTGTGTCTCAGCCTCCTGAGTATCTGGGACTACAGGCACGCCACCATACCCGACTAATTTTTGTGTTTTTAGTACAGACAGGGTTTCACCATGTTGGTCAGGCTGGTCTTGAACTCCTGACCTCAAGTGATCCGCCTGCCTCGGCCTCCCAAAGTGCTGGGATTACAGGCGTGAGCCACCACATCTGGCCT